TTATAATTAATCCACAAAGAATCATGAGATGAATCATATATGGTTAGAAACCTTATCGAGTCTAGTTTCTAACGCACTAAAAAGATTTTAATTTTGAGTTGTATATCTTGAGATATGATTGTTTTAGTGAAAGTAGTGCATGCTACCAAAATTAATTACTTGAGTTAATTCTTGTTTAACTTAATTGTTTTGGTATAAGTGGTCTCAACTAGGTTGATTAATTATTGTTATGTTGAAATTATCTTGAATAGGCCATTAATTATTTGAGGAGAAAAACTAGGTGATGAAATTGAAAGGAGGTAAGTAGAATCTCACATACTTTACTTGTTTTCAAATCTATATGTATGAATGAATGTTTCTAAATGAATAAATGTTTTATTTCATTATTTTCGATGTATGAAAATAGGATCAAGCATATGATTATTTTGTGTTTCTCTATATAAATGATGGATAATGCTTATGAATAAAATGAAAAGAATGATTTATGTTTAAAGAATGATTTTATGATAGTTACATTTTTATATCCCTGGAAAGTAGGATCATCAACACCAGAACTAGTTCTATGATCCTAGCTAATGGGTAATAGTAGTTAGCATAGACATAATCATACGGCCTTGCCAACGGGTTATAGTAGTTAGTGTAAAGCCTTGGTTAATAAATTATAATAGTTAGCAATGATCATGAGGATGAAATTGTTGATGCGGCCAATGTCACAGGTTATAACAGTGACCGTAGCTAACGATAAATGAATGATAATGATTATTTATGATGAATGATTTTTACAAATTGATCCATGATTTGATGACCTGTTTGATATTAATTTGTGATTTACGAATGCTTAACATAATGTTGATTTTTTAATTACTTTTGACATTATGAGTTGACGAATGTTTTAGAATGATTTATATATTAGGCTTCGTATTGCTTTGGGGTTTTATTTCAAAGTAATATGATCATATTATGTCTTGATCTCGGGGCGTGACAGGTATATTTAAAGTGTATGTGAACTCAAAATGGCAAACAAATGGACAAATGGTAGACAAAGTGTATGTTTAGGGTTTTGTCAATTTGTATCATTCACAAAGCAAGAAAAACATCATAAAATAATGAAGCCCAAAAACATGAACCCTAAAATAATCCCTAAATCTAAACTAAGCTCATAAAAAGAATTCAAACATGATTAGGGTTTGTCAATTTTTATCATTCACAAAGCAAGCAAAACATCCTAAAATAATGAAGTCCGAAAACGTGAACCCTAAAATAATCTCTAAATCTAAACTAAGCTCATAAAAAAATTCAAACATAATTAATAAACATATCAAACAAAACCCAAACATGAAAAACCCTAAATAAATAAAACAAAAAGCATAAACATGAAAAACCCTAAAAAAATTCCCAATGCAAACAGTAATAAACCTTAAACCCAAGTCATAAATAATGCAAAATTATCCAAAATAAAAAATAAGTAAGCAAAAAAAAAAAAACTAACCATAATCAATGTCACCATTGTCGGCCTCTTTCAAACTCCAACTCATGATATTCCTTTTTTAAAACCCTCAAAACCGTATGGTTTACCTTTGTTGGTCCTCTCGTTGAAAAGCGATCCCCTTGGTTAATCCGTTTCACTTCACAAAGTCCCTTCCTTTTTGCATGCGTCTTTTTCTTAAACATTGTTTCACAGGGTCTTATCTTTTTCATAATCTTTTTTTTGTGTCTCTTACTTTTTTTTTGTCTGGTCAACATTCATTTTTTAGTTTTTTGCATTTTCAAATTTATGATTAGTTTAATAATTGATAAAAAAATTCCATGTAATATGTTATGGCATTAAAAAATTTTGCATCATACAAATTCTTCAGATTATGTGTCATTTCATGTAAGATTTACCATCAATTTAAATGATCCAGCTCATGGAGGAACCATATTGACACATGTTTGGACAATGGAGAACTCAATTAGAACTTTTTAAAGTTTATAGAACAATATAAAATTTGACCTATAATTTAGCAACCACGCGTGCTATTAACCCTAAATTTAAATCTTAACTATTAGAATTAGTAGTTTAATATTTTATTAACAGTTACATGACTATTGATTATTAATTAAAGTTTCATTTAATTGATGATTTTTTTTTATTATTTGTTATTTTTTCTCTATTCTTTTACAAAAAAGAAATTAAAAGCATTTATCAAAGTGAACCTAAGTAAATAAAAAACATTTACAAGAAAATAAGCTACTATTAACAATAAATTAATTAAACGAAGTTTTATAAGTGAAATTGGTAAAACTTCTTATTAGAAATAAATAAATAATCTAAATTAATAAATTGATAGAGTTCAATGTAAAGATCAATAATATGTGAAAAATTATTAAAAATATTGTTTATAATTTAAATTTGATCCATATTTATTTAACAATAAAAATTCTATCAATATTTTTACTAAAAATGTTTATTTAATAAATATATCAAAATTTTTTTTAATTTTTTCAAATTTTGCATGGATGATTTATGTAATGAGATTTTTTAATCTATCGATTTTGATTTTTAATTTTAGTTTTTATTTACTCATTTATAATAAAAAAACTTTGCAAACTTATAAAATTTCATATAAGTCTTTTCCTAACTAAATTGCTTTTATTTCTTCTGTGTGGAAGAGGGTTTGCCTTGGAAGGGATTATGTTTTGTTATTTATATATTCTGTTTTTCTTTTCTATTTTAAAATTAACTAGAGCAAATGATTTTTAAAAAAAAAAATTCTTGGCTGTCACCCCATGGGTGCAAAGATGCTTCAATTTCCTTGCATATGTAACGGACATAGCAACATTAGTGATAAACAGGAAGCCAATTACTCTTCCAATCTAATAATCACATGTACAAAGCAAACTTCATGTGATTGAAAAATTAACTACTATTTTATAGGATGCTACACTGCCCACGACACCCTCAACACCCACAACAACAACAACAATAACGTTGAGAAGGTGAAGGCGGAGGTGGAGGAGGAGGAGGTGGCGGAGAAGGTGGAGGAGGCGGATAATGGTAATAGCTCTGATCAGGAAAAGCTAACATAGGCTCATGATCACTTGTTAGTTCGGTAGGAGCATCAACCACTGCATTATTTGTTATGGGAGATTGATCTTTTTGTGGTTGTTTGGGAAACTCAATAGGAGGTTGCTGTTTCTGGGTTTGTTCACTCTGAAGATGATCATCATTTGTAGACTGAGATATTGGTGGATGACGATCGTTTTCTCAAGGACTTCGTTTTAAAAGGGAAACCTGATCAGGTGGAGACGGCTGTTGTTGTTGTTAGTGCTGGGGGTGATTGAAACTTCCATGACTCTGGAGACTAGAATGGCTTTCAGGATAATGATCTTTCTGAGGATATCCTGATGAAGAAGAAACCTCCCGTTGAATGCTTTGAGGACTATTGTTTTCTGGTAGATGCTCTTGTGGAAGAACCCTCGTTGGAGATGCTTGCTGCTGCTGCTGCTTCTGTTGGTGGCTCTTGCCCCTTCGCGGAGGTCCCTCACCCTCACTACCGTGTCCACCAACTGGTTTCCCTTACTGTGGATAACCATCCTGTGGAGGAGACCCTTGAGGAGAATAGCTCATTTATTTTCTCCTGGAAGCGTCCTGTTTCTCACTTTCTTTGTTGATTTGGTTTAATCAACAAGATTTTGCTATGGTTTCAGGAGTGCAGGTCAATGAGATTTGTATAGCTTAGCTTAGTAGAAAAGCAGTTGCATATTTTAGTGCAAATTCACTATAAAATTTCCCAAATCGCCTGTCATTTGTAATCCAATTGCCAGTGCTTCAGGTAAAGAAGCAAGAACCAACCCAAGTATCACCTTGGAGACTTTATTTGATAAAAAAGATGTTAATTTAATGATTAAATAATAAAATAAAATAAATTATTATGACCTACTAAAAATGAAACAATATGGGATAAGATTGTTTATACAAAAGGCACCATATCATACTCCAAAAGTTTGTTCTTGAGAAAAGAGAATAATTTGGAAACTAGCACAAAACATCATCATTATATAAATCATTGATTAATTTTTTTATTTGAAATTATCTAAATTTAAATTTAAATTATTAAAATTAATAATTTAATATTTTATCAACGATCACACGAACATTGAATATTAATTAAAGTTTCATTTAATAGATGATTTTGTTTTTTATTATTTTTTGTTATTTAATTTTAATCATTAAATAAATAAAAATTTCAAGATTTACTTGGCTTGTGGTTTATCAAGATTCCCACTCAATTGATGCAATTGCTTACATCAATTGTTTTTACATCAGCTAGCTTAGCTGCCCCAGAATCTATCCTCCATTGTTACACTCAAAATACTATTTTCATAGACTTTTTTTTTCCCTCTTTCATTGGCATCAAACCTACTAAAAATGAAACAATATGGGATAAGATTGTTTATACAAAAAGCACCATATCATACTCCAAAAGTTTGTTCCTGAGAAAAGAGAATAATTTGGAAACTAGCACAAAACATCATCATTATATAAATCATTGATTAAATTTTTTTATTTGAAATGATCTAAATTTAAATTTTAATTATTAAAATTAATAATTTAATATTTCATCAACGATCACACGAATATTGAATATTAATTAAAGTTTTATTTAATAGATGATTTTGTTTTTTATTATTTTTTGTTATTTAATTTTTAATTTTTCCTCTATATTTTTCGATAACAACAAATTAACTAAATAAATTGCTTTTTGCCTTGGAAGGGCTTATGTTTTGTGATTTATATATTCTGTTTTTTTGTTTCTATTTCTAAATTAACTAGAGCAAATGATAAAAAAAAAAAACAAAAATTCTTGGCTGTGACTCCATGGATGCAAAGATACTTCAGTTTCCTTGTATTTGTAAAGGACATAGCAATAATATTCTGACAAACAGTGTTCAACTTTAATGATAAACAGGAAGCCAATTACTCTTCCAATCTAATAATCACATGTACAAAGCAAACTTCATTTGATTGAAAAATGAACTACTGTTTCATAAGATGCTACAGTGCCTGCAACACCAACAACAACAGTCCTTACAACACCGATAACAGTCCCTACAACAACAACGTTGAGGAGGAGAAGGCGGAGGCGGAGGCGGAGGTGGAGGCGTTGGCGGAGGAGGTGGAGGAAGCGGATAATGGTAGCAGCTCGGATCAGGATAAACCAACACGGGCTCATGATCTTTTGGCAGAGGCGGTGTTGGAGACAGTGTCGGAGGCGGATAATGGTAGTAGCTCGGATCAGGATAAACCAACACGGGCTCAATAGGAGGCTGCTGTTTCCGGGGTTGGTTACTTTGAAGATGATCTTTTGTAGACTGAGATGTTGGTGGATGACGATCGATTATTCGAGGACTTTGTTTCAAAAGGGAAACCTGATCAGGTGGAGACGGCTGTTGTTGTTGGGGGTGCTTGGGGTGATTGAAACTTCCATGACTCTGAAGATCATGATTATCTTTTGTAGAATGCCCTTGTGAAGGAACCCAATTCAAACGCTCCTGTTGCTGGGGTTGGTCCCAAGTTTGAAAACCTGGTGGATTGTTATTGCTTTTTGGAGGATTCTCTGGCAAAGGAAGAGCCCCAACTGATGGCAGCTGTTGCTGTTGCTGGGATTGGCCCCAAGTTTGCAAACTTGGTGGATTGTTACTGCTTTTCGGATGATTTTGTGGCAAAGGAAGAGCCCCAACAGGGGGCAGTTGTTGCTGGGAACTTTGTTGACTCATGTTCAAAGGCTTTAGAGGAATTTGCTGAGGAGGTAGAACCTGAACTGAAGGCAGTGACTGCTTAGAAGAGTGAGGAAAATGAAGATAATCATCTGTTGGAGGATATCCTTGTGATTGTGAAATCTGCTTAGAACCCTCCCCATGAAAATTGTCTCTTGGATAAGCACCGTTTGCTGAAGCTGCTGCAGCCCCTTGAAGAGAATTGCTCATCTCTTCTATCTTCAGGAAATTCCCCGGCTTCTCTTTGCCCTTGTTTGATTTGGTTTGGCATAGTTTCTTGATATATATAATTGAAAAATAAAATAAAATAAATTCGACCATATGATTCAATGACTTAATACATGATTTGTACTAAAAATAGGATTCAAATGCACTGTTTTAGAATAAAAAAAAGTTTGCAGCTTGACATAAACGCAGCTTAATTTATTTGAAATGCAAAAATTATAGCTAATAATTTCACTAGAGAGTGAACTAAATGTTCCTTCAACCATTAAACTGACAGAATATTGTAATCATTTCTAGAAGAGTTGACGACATAAATAACTTTTGTACTATACATTTTTTAATACGATATATGATCTTCAAAAATATCAAATTTAATATTTATATGATCAAATCATATGATAATATCATATTTGAGATTAACACCGTTACTTAAAGATGATAACATGGTTCCTTATCGATAGAATACACAAATTTTATGGTAAATTGAGTTGATGATATCTTGGTATATATCAAGATTCCCACTGCAATTTATTCTCCAAAGCTTAGCTCCAAAGGTTTATTCTTAAGCATACAATAATATTTTCAGACATGGAATGGCCAACACATCATTGAGACAACAATATGCTTGAAATTGACTTCAATTATTACTTACATTTCTTAATTTTTCTATTTTATGTCATCAACTAAAAAACTAGTAATGCCAATTGAGTTACCAACTTAATTAACATTTCATTATTTTAATATTATTCTTTTTTTCAACAAAAGTCGTAATTTGATAATAAAAAAATTATAAATATTAATCTTTGAACATCATATCTACAATATGTTAATGATTGCATAATCTGATTAAACTAAATGCCAAGTTTTTCTATATTATATTTCTCTCAATCCCATCTCACTATCAACACGATGTTGCAAATGATCTCAGCTTTGGTTTCAGAGACAAGAATAAAGAAGCTAGCAAGACATGAAAGTGAAACGAGTTCAGTTACATACAAATCATTTTCTTGTGGAGAAACATGACCAGTACTTTCGAGTCTGTCAAGCACTACATTATGAACCTGTGTTGGAGAATTTCCTTCCTGCCTGTCCTATTTCTTTTACCACTCATGTAACTTAACCTATAATCCTTTCACCCACAGCCAATTCCATTTGCTTTTGTAGACATCCACTTTTTGATTCTGTTTTTCTCGGTGAGCTTCAAGAAGGATAACAAAGTAAAAGAAAAAACAAATAAAAATAGAGTTTTAATCTTAATAAAATTATGAGATAAAGGAATTTAAAATTTGAAACCATGATCAAGAAAGGGATTTTTTTTTTTCAAATGAAGATAAATAGATGAGAGGATAGGGGGATTTTGATTTTTAAATCCTCGTTTAATTTTTATATAAACCCTCCAGCAATCACAAGAGGGACAGACAGAGAGAAAAAAAAAAGAGAGTAATCAGAGGGAAAAGAAAAAAAATTCGAAAAAGTTACAGTTTTCTGAAAGAGGTTTTTGAGGAATTTGTTGTTTTGATTGGAGGATTTTTTTTTTTTGGGATTTTTTTTGTATTTTCTAAAAAGTTTTTGAAAATTCCAAAAATCGGTAGAAATTTTTGGTGAATACTCAAATTTTTTGGCAAGTTTTGGCAATAAATCCCGTTTTTGACAATAAAACCCAAAAATCGACGACAATTCTATCAGAGTTTTTCGCGTCTTAGAGAGAGATGCAAAGAAAAGGAAAATAAGAGAGAAAGCAAGGAAGCATTTGACGAAAATTTTTTTTTACATTTTATACTACCTGAAAACGACATCATTTTGAGCTAAAAATGAAGCATGATCTTTGTCTTTTCCTTTAGTCCCACTCCACTTATCCAAAAGCCCATTCCTGTCATCAAGCCGACCAAGTTACTAAGTTGTCTGAGCCCAAGTCGTTGATCCAGCTGTATTCCTTTCTTCAGTTGAGTCGCGTCCCCTTTAGTTGAGCCGCACCAAGATTTATTCCTTTTATTATTTTGTTTGCTTATTTATTTATTTATTGGTTAAATTGATATTATTTATTTATTTATTGGTTAAATTGATATTATTTATTTATTTATTTATTTTGTGAATGAGTATTTTTTAAAATAATAAAAAATATTTTTTTAAAAAATTGAAAGTATCAAATTTTTTTAAAATAAAATTTTAAAAATACTTTAAAAAAAAATTGAGATTAATGAAACAAGTAAAAATTCATAAAATAAATTTGGCCCATGCAGGTTTCGAACCTGCGACCTTCGCGTTATTAGCACGACGCTCTAACCAACTGAGCTAATAGGCCTGTTGATTTTACTGAGTAAAATTTCTATTAAGTCCTGAAGTTGTTGACATTTTTTTGTCTGAAAATGACAACTATTTTCTCCCACATATACGGGATACAATGAAGTTTGTTGTCCGAAAAAACAATTTTGTGTGCCCCAAGTGCCATAATTAAGTGGTTGAATTTTGTACTAAATTCACACTAATTACAAAGCAACGTTTCCATTTTGTTTTATTATGTAACCATTCTGCTATTCATATATATATTTACACTTTTTTTTTATAAAGTGAAAACACATCAATGAACCAATTAAGAATCAATTAATCTCATTTGTTCCAATAATAATAGAAGACTCAATTGATTATCAACCAAAAAAAATTTAAATCAATTAATAATAATAGAATACAAAGTTAAAAGTATCAATTTTTTTTTAAGATAAAATTATCAAAAGATATTTTTTTGATAAAAAATTGAGAGTATCAATTTTTCTTAAAAATAAAATTTAAAATTTTTTTTTTTTACGAAAAATTAAAAGTATCAATTTTTCTTGAATAAATGCATTAATCTTGTTTAGATATATATATATATATATATATATATATAATAAGAAAAGAAATCTCAAGAAAAGTTGAGATATTAATTTTTTTTTGCTTTTTCTTGAAATTTTTTTATTAAATAATCCGACGACAAAGCCCTTATAGGATAAGCAGTAATTTTCTTGTATACTCTTACGGTAAAAAATTTTTTTAATTTTCTACCGAAAGTATTAGAGTCACTTAAGAATAATTTTCAATAATTAACTATCTTGTAATATTTTTAAGGCTTAATGGATAATATAAAATAAAGTTGGTACCATTTTTGATGGACGTTGTCGGGATGTTATAACTTCCTCACACGTAACAATACTCTTGGACCTAGTTTTAGTTTCGTAGACATTGAATCTACCTTTTAAAGATACCTGAGTCAAACTTAGAAATTTCTCTTTAAAACGGATAGATTTAGTTAAGTGGCCTATTGCACCTAAAAAAAAATATTGGTGGTGACTCCTTAAGTCAATATCTAATGATAAGTTCATAGACCTAGACGTTATGACAGTTTGGCAACTCCATTAAGGATAAACTGAGAGTCAAGCTAGCAAATAAATTTGTGTTATCCAAAAGCCTAATAAAATTAATTTTTTTGTTTTGTAAATATCTTTGTTTATTCATTCATTCTATTTATTTATTTTGCTTATTATGTCATTCATACGTATATACATAACATGAGCTTTATACTCGAACTCTATCCCTTTAGGAAAAAGTAAAGTACTTACACTTTCGTGAGGTTTTAATGCCTCCGTAATAGCTAGCGAAATACTCCCACTCAAATTGAATATTTTTCATTTATAACCTTAATAGGTAAGGATTGAGGTGCCTTACTAGTCTGTGATGAACAATGTAAGGAGTAATTTTGGAACCCTTAGATTTTCAATCTTAAACCATATACAATGAACTTTAGAAATGCCAACCTATAGATAGAGCCATACTTTTCCCTTTAGAATTGACCAAAAGCTTAGGATTCATTCCTTTTATTGTGTATGATGTTCTAATTTATTTATTTATTTCTTATTCAGTGTATTAATCTTTTCTCGTATTTATCTTGCATGATTCATGCTTATATCATAAAGTTGTATAAAAAATATTTGTCTGAAAGACAGTCTTCAACAAAGAGTTTTTTATGGATTCCACAAAACGACTAGTTTGCTCTTCATCTGTATTAGCTCTTTGAGAGTCACCAAACTAGTTAGAAAAGATCCAACAAAAAAGAGGATTGTCTACTAGTCAGTCATGCTTCTACCTTGTCTAAAAAAATATCTATCCTCTTTAAACAAAATAATCTAGAAGATTTGGTTTATGTATGGAAAAAAATGGGTCCATTAAAACATGAGGATTTTTGCCAAAAATATGGACACGTAACACAACTTCTTGTGGTGAATGCTAAAGATCAATTAATCAGAGCTGTTGCTCAATTATGGGATCTTTCATATAAACGTTTCATCTTTAATAAAGTTGAAATGAAACCAATCATCGAAGAGTATTCAATTTTGCTGGGTCTACACTTCAATGCTCTTGATAAGATATATGTCAAGAAACACAAGTCGAGATTTCATAAGAATCTAGCAAGTATTATATGTATAAACAAAGAGACTATAGATTCATATACAAAGAGAAAGCAAGGGTAGGTCTATTTACTTTGGAATTTTTTTATGATTTTCTTAGCACAACACGCCAACAAAGAGTAAGGGTTAGATGTGTTTGCCTTAGCCATATACGGAATGGTGATCTTTCCAAAGGTTCTAGGTTACACTGAGATAGTAGTGGTTAACTTCTTTGAAAGTGAGGTAAATGGCTGCAACACTTCAATGGTAATATTGGTAGAGACTATTAGATCGTTGAATTATTGTCACCAGAACATAGGGCATTTCGCATGTTGTATACAGCTATTGTATTTATAAATAAAAAGTTATTTTGAAGGTAAAAAAAGTGTATTCTTGAAACTTTATTTTTGCAATCGAGCTCCAATTAAAAATTCTATGAAAGCAAGTGGCCAGAACAAAAGTCTAAAAAAGAGTGAGTAGCTTTCTTACAAAACTAACAAGCACTGAGGTGAAATGGTTGATCCCATAGATGAATCAAGAACCCATGCTATATCAATGTGGAAACAA